ATTTAATATCTAAATTTCACTCAATAATAATTTTGCAATTTCCAAGTTTCCAATATGAAAAGTGACAGGAAATTATCGGAAAAGGGTGTGCCAACATGCAGCTCTTAAACAAAAATTACTGTCTTATTCTGGCGTGGGCTGCGAAGGTTGTTTAACCACAACATGTCCTTATGTAGGCAGACGCAAGCGAAACTTTCGTTCGTTTGAACTTTCTTTTATGAACTTTCTCGACCTAGACAGGACAAATGTTTCAGCCCACATGGCTACCCACAGCTCAGTCACACGAATTCATCCACCTGAAGAAGTAAGGAAATTAGGAATAGGACTGTATCTCTTGTATGATTGAGTAAGAAAACGCAATATTTCTTTATTCCTGTAATGTTGAGATAAATGAATGACTGAAGTTTAAGATCATAAGCAAAGTAATTTTATATTTTAACTGTCTAAAATTTCATTCTTTCACAAAATATTTAAATTGCGAAAATTTTACAAGAGCTTCATTACTGTAAAATTTGGTCTTGGATTGATATTTTCTTAATAGAAAATTTAACTGGTTGTAAAGGCATCAGAGCAGAGGTCTTTTTTTTTTCGAGATGGGAAGCTATTAATAACATATCTTTTATTCTCGAGAAGGGGAAGGATCTCTCATTTGACAATTTCAAAATATATAAAACCTTTCTGTAAAATTAACGCTAATCTAAGACTCAATTTTTTCCTAATTTTAAATTAATTACTGGCAAGCGTCTCAACCAAACGTTTTAATAATGTTTTAAAACTGTAATATGTTGATTCTAATTTATTAGGGTATTTCAGCATTCATAGTTAATGATTTTACTTAAATAAGTAAGTTCAAAACATATATTGTTAAAATGTTATACTCAGAATATACCTAAATACAAAAATACAAAATTTCATAATACGTAAGCAGCTTGTGAATCAAAATTTGTAATAAATAGTTTAAAATTATATTAGGTAGTTAAGATATATTGCAAATATGACGCTGATTTTTGTTGTTTGACTTCTGAATTAGTATAATGTTTCTCCTTTACACATTGTAAACATTACAAAAAAACATTACAAAAAATGTAATGTTTTATATTACAAAAACATTACAAAAAACATTACAAAAAATGTAATGTTTCTCCTTTACACATTTGCTTACAAATGTAATATGAATTATTATGATTGAAATATATTCATTTTTTCCTTCTACGGGTAAAGACATTCAACTTATTAAAAGGAAGGAAAATTTTTTTAATGGAAATACAAATATTTATGCATTTATATAAAAACATCAAATTCAAGGCTGCTTCAGTTTTTGGTAGAAGCTACCACAAGAAAGAACGCAGAAATTGCTTAAAATAACAAACAGCTGTTAACAGATTAAGAATATATACGGCAGGGCCGGGTCTGAGTCGATGCAACTGATGCGACAGCACCGGGCGGCAGAATTTAGAGACGATAAAATATTTCGAATTTTAGAGCGGCACAAGACGGAAGAATTTATTTCGTTTTCGTTTGTTTAATTACGGCAAAGCATACTAGGGCTATCTGCCTACGGAATAATTTAATCAACGCAGAGACAGCCTGTGAGGATAAATGCCTAACGCCGTCCTTGTATATACACACATAAATACATAAACAGGTACGTGATGGGCAAGCGAGTATACATTTGCAAGGTCTTACCCCCCCCCCCACAAATGGCGGGCCCTAGCCATTTATAGGCCTTGGCCAGTACTAAGGCCAGAAGCTGTGGTCTCTTTATTATGGAGACACTTAACAGGTGGGCCACTGTTTCCTTCTATTGAAGGAACAACAAATTACATCCATGTTTCCTCCGGGATTCGAGCCCGGTTACTTCGGTATGCCAGTCATAGTCACTAACTTCTTTCCTGCAAAGTCTTATGTAATCAGCATTTATATATATCAGAGTTAATAAGTGGTGTTACCGGAAAACGAGAATTAATAGTTTTTCAAAATACGGACGGAGATTTGGGAGGGCAAAATTTCGTGGACCACTTGCACCCTTTTTGAATTGAAAGCGTATAAAACTTGAATTACTGTAACGAAAATTAAACGCCAAGTGATTTTTACCTTTTTGTCATTTTAAGACGCGTGTTTGAAAAGAAAGTAGTAGTGGTAAGATAATTAATTCAGAGAGCAGATTTATTGAAGAATTAAAAAATGATATTAATTTGTTGCGAATCTGTATTAAGTTATATTTTTATTCTACAGAAAATATTTTGTCTTACTGAATTATTGAATAATTATGAAAATGCAATTTTACAGGTGACAGGTGAGAGCAGGTTCCGGACACCCGGGCGGCTTTCATTGACTATTCGGGTATCGACCGGATCCCGCAACTGTCCAAAAATACAACAACATTGCCAAACAGGGGCTGATGTTGGAGGACAGACGTATTGAGGATTCTTACAGTACCAATGCTTATTACAATATATAACAATTAGAGAGACTTTACATCAGGGCCCACCAGCGTCCGAGCGGTAAAGTCGTTAAACACTGGTAGTTCGTTCGGCCTGGGGCTCTAGAGCGGTAAAGTCGGTGAACACTGGTAGTTTGGTCGAGCTCTAATCTTCGCGAACGGGTTTGCTGCATGAACAGTGTCGTGGTTCTCCTCATATATAACGTATAGTATACGAGCCAGTTTTCCTTAGAAGACCTTCACGAAGACAACCATCCCCTTAGGCTGATTGCCATCGTGTGCTTTGTCATAACTAAATAAACCAAACCAAACTTATAATAGCCAAGTATTTCGGCTAGTTTTTATACCATTTATAGCTCTGGTAGAAACTTTCTTTCCGATACTTAATATTTGAAATTCCCGTAGGATAAGATTTTGATACAGCAGCGAAGAAAAATATTTAAACAGCGAGCTTTTCCGCATATGAATTTTTTCATGCTGCAAACGTGGTAGTAAATTGCACAAGAATCCTAAGAAAGCCTTGATTTAGCAAAGTAAGAGTTATACGCAGATTTTTCGGGGAAAATGCAGATTAGTTCTGAAAGTACTTTTTTTTCCTTTCTTTCATAATTCCATTGTTCTTTTCAATTTTTTTTTATGAATCGCATGCCAACACATGCATACGTAAGAAAACCTATATTACTACAAGATTCTTTCTTTTGTGAACATTTTTACACAAAATTTCTAGATACGGGCTACACTGCTATGAAATATTCCTCCAAACTAAGACAACATCTTTATATATATATATAAGCGGTTAAAGTGTGTGTCGCCGATAGTTTATTGTTGCCGGAAAAATGAGCGCGCAAATTAACGTTTCCGCAGTTTTTAATTAATATCTCGGCCGATTAAAGTCATACGAAGATGAGAACGGTATCGATGGACTCGGAGAATTTTTTGGAATCCGAGGATACGCGTCTCGAATTTCAACTCGGCGCCGTTCCGTAGATATTCGAGAAAAAAGAATTTGGCACGTAGCCAAATCCCAGTAATAGGAAAAAACCCAAGAAAGAAAGTGGAAAATGTAGAGAAAACGTAGGGGAAAATTAGTTTTTAATTAATATCTCGGCTAATTAAAGTCCCACGAAGACGCGAATGGTCAAAATGGCGTGCCACGGACCTGCGGAATCCAACGGTGTGCTTCGCTAAGCCCGGAAGCCAGCCGTTTCGGAGGAGATAATGTTACTTCACCCTATACATATATATGCGGCTTAAGTGTCTGTTTGTCACCGATAGTTTATTGGTTGCTCGCGTAACTGTACTAGCCAATGGAGTGACGTTGAAACGGCACAGGGTTGCCGTATTAATCGAGACATAGACAATTTCCTGTAAAACTTGCCTTTCCTATGACCATCAATAAATCTCAGGGCCAAACGCTTAAGCGTGTTGGCATTTTTTTTACCTGAGCCTGCATTTTGGACACGGTCAACTTTATGTTGCCTGTTCAAGAGTTCGTGAAGGAACGGACGTAAAATTAAAAAATAATTGATGGTGCTCTGGAAGGCGAGCTTAAAAATGATGGGAAGATCTACACGAGAAATGTTGTGTCCAAAGAGATCTTTGGCATGTGAATTAACATTTTATTATTTAAATCACCTTTATTTATTGAGCTAGCGGTGGCTTTTAAGAAATGTACCGCCACTGGTTTCCTTCATTGCACTCTACTTTAAACAATTAAGCTAGTAGAAGGGGGAAACCCCGTAAGGCAGTAAGCAAAGGGGCGTCCTCGCCGCCTACCCTGGGTAATTCAGTTTGAATTGGCAGACATCTTTGTACAAATCATTTTAATTACAATTTATAATATCTAGAACAGCGAAATCGTAAATTTTGGGCATCAATATTGGTAAAAAAGTGACGCGAAATTTCGGAACATTTTTATAAATTCGAAAAATCGATAATTATCCTTCAAATATTTCAAGAATAATTGTAGAACACCAGGCACGGATGAATTCATTTAGAATTCATCTGTGCCTGGTGTTCAGGATTGGTCTAAAACGATATCATTAGAGCTCTTTTCATGGAATTTTAAAAGCGAACATTTAAAGCAAGAAGGGTAAATGTTCGACGCATCTTCAGAAAACAACTTTAAATAAATGTCTTAAGAGAAATAACTAGACCAACAGAGTAATCAATATAAAAGTTTAACTCTTTGCATATGAATCTCACATGATTATAGCATTTATTAAATAACCTCAATAAACCTTTCCAGAATTTTAATTTCCAGCATTAGACTTCTTACACAAGTTCTTCCTAGATGTATACAAAACCTAATCTGTATAATAGGTATTATTACAGTAAAATTTAAAATTTAAGTTAAATTAACCTGACATGATTACTGTGACGATTAATGTAGCTCAACTAATTTCAGAATCTCAATTACCAGTATTCCTAAAGTTTGTATAAAACCAACTATTTATTTTTCTGTAAATCTAAACTATTCCATATATCTACCTATTTAACAATAAGCATTCAAAAAAAAAAAAAAAGTTTAAGCTATTAATGAAAACTATATACTTACAATTTCAGCAGCAAATATCAAAACCAAAGCTACCCGCATGGTCTTCCTGTAAAAAGAAAAATGCTAAATATAACGTAATGTAAGATTTCACATAGTTATTCGTACATAAACTTATTTTAACAATTATTTTTGAGAAGATAATTAGTTCTTATTTGACGAGTTACCATTATGCAAAATAATTGACCACACTTTTTACGCCAATATGGTGAAAAATGAAATCCAAAAAGCTGTATAAAACACTTTAAATTTCGATAAAAGTGTATAATTCATTTTATGCTTAAAGAAACACCTTTATTTGATTTAAACATCTGTGAGAATTAATTTAATATATTCAATTTAAATAAATAGAAATCAAATGATTATCCTCAGGCATTTTTAACATATGGTGTTGGAAAAATCTTAAAATTATTAGTCCAAATGGCTTTGCCCCTGAAGGACTACTGGTTTCGTTTTGCAATTTTGCGTTGAATCACTATAAATGTCCGTTTTACTTTTCAAACTGTTGTCACCAAATGTTAGAGTCCTGAATTATATTTGAAGAAATCAAATAATGAAAAATCTGCATAAATGTATGTATATTTCTCGCATTATGATAAAACAACGGTACATAGAGCCTTCGAATTTTGAATGACTTAATCCTCCTACGAATATGGGCACGTGGAAGACCCAATTTGAAATTTAGAATTTGTTTTATGATCGATTTCCTATTTTCTAAAACTTTACGAATTTCTGAGTAACAAACTCAACGATTTAAAAGCGAGCCTTAAAAAGACCTTTTTTTTTTATCTCTAGCGTGCGGAATTGTGTATCGGAAGTTCTAAAGATAGTCTCATTTTAAAATTCTAAATATAGGCTCATTTTAAAATTATTTTGCGACATTGCTATTGAACTGAATTTTATGGTTTAAGTGCAAAGAACATGATATTTAATAAATAAAGGTAACACACAAAACGTCAAAAAAAAAAAAAAAAAAAAAAAAACGCCCCTTTGAACGTAATTTAAAATCTGAAACCTTTCAGATTTTTTTGCGATGTACAGCCTTTTATTTTTCATTTAATTTGAAACATCTTTTATTGACTGCAATTATACTGCATGCGGTGGACTGCACAGAGATGAGAAAATCGTGTGTGCGTTCCCCGCAAGTCACTGTTTCCAAGCTTTTATGATGTGCCATATGAGATGGTCTGACATCGCAAGCGCAATAATTAGTTCCAGTTAGCAAGTACAAGAGACATAACTTCACGACCAGTGCCAAGAGATTTTAGTGTCCCACGCTGTGTCTGTTGTCAAAGCCTCTCGATTTCAGGAGGGCTGACGAACCAGTGATCTTGTTTTTCCTCTGATATCGTTCCAGACATAATGAATCAGAGACTGTAAAATACTACTGAAAAATTAAGGAGGCTTGGCTAATTCAGACTGCAGCTTGTTTCCATGGGAATAACACACCAGAATACTCTAGTTTTGAGTTCAGAAATGCAGGAAGTATTACGCAACCTCACAGATATATTAATCTTTATATGGAATCAGAAGCGCTACCTGCCGCCGGTATCCACACATTCATTATGATCAACTGGATACTTTGTGAATTAAAAGGTATTTAAATTATGTTGATCAATTACAGAGAGTAGTCGGGAGGTGATCCACCAAAACAATTCCGCATGTCGCATAAGAAACGTGTTTTATTAATTTTAATATTTCTGAAAATGATGATAAATGTATAATTTAGATATATCATAAATTAAATATACTCTAAATTATAACAATTAAATACATTAGTAAAAATAAAACACGAATTTCAATTATTATGGATTATATTTTGACGTTTTTAAATCACGCGGCTTGTTAAGAAATTACAGATCAATCGAAATTGGAAGATAAATCAAAAATTTACTATTATACCAATGGCAACACTCAGAAAACTGACTGTTTGGAAGCAATGTCGAAGATAAATTAAAAACTTTGTTTTGTGCAAGACAAAACATGGCAAAATTTGCCATGTCGAGAAGCCGGTAAACGCATGGCAGGGTAATTTCAAATTTAGCATTATGCCCCAGGAGATAAACTTTCGTTTTAGTGCGTAGGAAAGGTACGAGGAAAGGAAAAGAAAGAATAAGTAGAGATACTTGAACAGCAATAATAATTTAATGATCTTTAAATGTTTATTTATTGTATTCTTTCTTGACATAGTAATAACACATGGAACACATATAACTAATTAAAGCACTGTATTTACCATTAAGCTCGGGTATGTCTGTACATTTTACCCAAATATTTCGATGCAGATTTCTATGTACAGCTACTAAGCGGGGTATTCAGATTTTAAGTTCGATATCTTGTATTTATTCTGCTATGAAAATCGCATGAAAAATCATGCAGGACAGAAGATAATGTTAAAAATGAAAATACCTGTTTTTAAATATTTGATATATCAAATTGCATGCCGCTTTAAATTGTTTTTATCATAATTAGTAATAATGGTCATCTCATAATTCACAGCACAATGAACATGCATTCATAAAACGCATATACTCACAGCATAGTCTTTAACAATTTTATTAAAAGTGATGCATAATTTTATTCTTTACCCATCAACAAAAAATTACACATTCGCATAGTGCTGTGACATACCTCACTTAGTAACATCAGACATCAGACATACAACAGACATCATCATGACAGTAACATCAGAACAAGCCCAAGAAATTCATTGTGGCAAGGAGTACAAGACTGCGCCTGTCGTTGGCAACAGCCTTGAGCACCATACAGGTGACAGTACGACTTCGCTCAGTTCCGCCCCCAATTTTGAGGAAGAGCATCCTGGGGGTGTTGGTCCTAGAGTCTTTCTCTACCATCAATCTCTCGAGAGGAATTTCGGCATGCCACATATCTAGAGTGGCTTCCATGCCGCACAAATATTATACATTTAACAAACATGCCTTCTGCGGGATTCGAACTAGGTCCCTTCGGTACTGCAGTAAGTTCTAATCACTATACGATAGTCGCATTGTTTACTTTGTATACAACAGCAGTTCCTATTTTCCGATTACTCATCTTCAGATGAACTATCGGTTTTTGTATTGTGTTAGGAATATTTTTTCCATCACAGTAACTCATTTTAAATTTGATCCATTTCATTTGAACTGTCCTTTATTTCAAAACTTTTCCAAATGATGTCTCGGCACACCATCCCCATGCTAATAACACCCATAGACTTTACCCAGTTCACAACTAGTTCACAGTCCATCATAGATATGAGATTCAAGATTCGTAGATACGGCTAAAATAATTGAGGCTATAAATTCAGATATTACTTCCGACACTTTTCCCTTTCATTTCCTTTAACTTTAGAAAAAGATAAAAAGTAACATTTAGAAACTTGTATTCTTTTTTCGCAACATATTATAAAACTTTCACTTCACGACTAACATTTTCTAAAAGAATTAAAAAAAAAAAAAAAAAAAAAAAAAAAAAAAAAAAGAGTAAGAAAGAACAATAAAATCTTGTTTCCTGACAAAATCTTTGTAACCGGGGGGAAAATGTCGAAATCTTATGCCTCCGAGACAATAGAACAAGACAGCTTTATTCCGTGGGAAATAAAATGGAAGTAAATTGTGTTATAAAGCTTTGAGGGAAATGGTTGACACTTTTGTCGAAAATGCTTTTCTTAAAAGTTCACTGCAACTCTTTCCCAGACACACGCATATATAACAACACGCAAATATTCTCAGCAATTGTTGGCTAGAGATTTTCGGACTTTAAGAATGGCTGAATTATGGGTTGGACGCATGTGCGCATTTATGATGAGTCGTCGGTCCCTCAGGGTTAAAGACTCAGTTTAGTCCATTTTTCTTTTTGTTTTTTCTCTTTCCATTCAAAGAGAACATATGAATAATGCATGAGCATTCTTCTATGCAGGGACAATGGAAACTTAAATCCCTGCCCACCGGAAGAAAGGGAAAGGCTTTTAAAGATCCCACAGAAGAACGCCCTTGAAATTGAGTAACGTTAAACAATTTTAACGCTTGGAAATACAAATGATGAAAGATAAGTTGCATATTAGTGCAATCTATAAAGAGCATAAAAGGAATGAATCAGTTCCTTTAATAAGACTTCTATATTTCAGGGTTAATGAACTAAATTGTGATAAAAAAATACAGGGTGTCTCGAAAGGTCGTAACCAAACTTAACATGCTGGTCTGTCATATCATGACAAACAAGATTTACATAAGAACTTGTGTCCGGAAATGCGAACGGGTTCGCTAGAGGGCAATGTTGGCAAGCGTAGAGGGAAAAAAGAAAGGATGTAGAAAGAGGTGTTAATATGACTTTCGGCCTTCAGCGGCCGAGTGGTAAAAAGCCGCTGAACACTAGTAGTTCGGGCCCAGGTTCGAGTTCAAACGAACGGGATGGTTGCATGAGTGTTTTCGTGGTTTTCCCCATGTATAACGTAAATAAGAGCTAGTTTCACTTAAAAAGACCTCCACGAGGCATATCTTCTTTCCGTGTAGTGCTTAAGGACGAAGCACGTAATAACTTAATATTTTAATATTTCTTTGAAATGCAACGATTATTTTTCTGTTTGAGATATAATCATAGTCTCAATTTTTATGAAAAGTAATTCAGAAAATGTACGATGTTTTCATAAATTAATCATAACAATTTTATAATGTATTTTATAAGTTAGCTACTCAAGAAATAATTGTACAACCTTATTTTGCTAAAAACATCCTACTTTTAAGAGAATACACTTAGCACGAATATTGCTTTTTGAAATTATCAACATAACTGCGTTTTTATCAACATAACTTAGGAAAAAAATAATTTTGTCAACAAAATTTCTAATTTCTAAATAGTTTCATCTTCACCATTATTGTTATTATTTAAGCATCCCAAAGCGAAATTTAATGCTAAACTTTCGAAGGCCTTTCAATTTATGACTTTGGGGACACTTGAGAAAAGTGTTTATTATAAGGTTTGTACTCAAACGATCCAAAGAAGAAAATGCACAGCTATGTCTAGAAAAATTAAAACTTTATGATAAAGCAG